GAGAGACGACAATCTTCCCGGAAGCATCTGGAAGGAGAAAGGGCGGTGCCTCTGAAGGGCCCTGGTCGAAGCACTGGGTCACGGTCACCATGCCAAMCCACAGGGAGTAGTGCACGCATGCGATGGCTGCTGTCCTTGTTGGCACTTTCTGCGCTAAATAGAAGTCCCGCCGGGTGTGCCAGCCCATGACAGACGCTTACCAGACCGTCTATAAATATTTCTGGTTGGGAGTTCATTGTGATTCTGGCTGTGATCGTCGTCCTGACTGCGACGTTAAAGAATTCCTGAAGAGATGGGGGCGCTCTATAAATTCCTCCTGATCAGCCAGATCACATGGACAGGAAGGCCCGTCGCCGTACGAGGGTAAATAAGAGTGGTTGGGCTGGCTTGCTCGGTGACGACTTGGGCACAGGGGTGGGCCGAAATACACACGAAGACACTGCTTGCTCATTGATGCTGTCCGGTATGTTGGATTGAGGGAAAGGGTAGGTTCCAGTTGATGCTCATTTGAATACACAACCATACCCATCAATCATACATCTGCTACATGGTCATTTTGTATTCTTGATTAGTTGGTGGACAGACTGCTAACACCTCACAGACAGATTAGATTAGGACTGTAGTATACTACCATATCCAGTTCTCTCTAATGCTGGCTGTAAGTGAACCAATCAGAGTACATCTAGACTATGTAGACAATCTGTGTGAATGTTGTAGACATGCCACTTGATCGCTACAGTAGGGGACCTGCCGGTGCCGGTCAGACACATGTTGTGGTAGGACTCCACTAGGGGGTTCTAGTGCAGACAATGTTTGCCTAATCCATGAACGGATCAGACGTCGATGAGGAGGGAGTTGACGATGCAAGACTGACACGTGCAAGATCACTTAGGGTCCCGCACGTGTTCCAGGCCCTAGAACCGGGAGAAGAAAGACGGCTTGGTGCCGAACGCAGAGCCCGTGCACTAGCAGCAGCTAGAAAAACAGCAAACGCCGCAGCTAGGGAACAGGCTGCACCAGCAGCCAGGGCAGCAGCCATGACTAGCTCAGCAGCATCCTATGCTGCGTTGTCTGGGACCAATGGGACCCAGTTGGGAATGCCAACAGGGTCCACAGGTACTTCCAGTTCTATGGGTTCTCGTCAGTCTACAAGTCAAATGGCGGGCTCGCAGTTCAGCCTGTTGACTCCTCGCGAAAGGGAGCTCAGGGAGCTCCAACAGGTCGAAAGGATCCGTGAAAGATTAGAAAGGGAACTGAAACAAGCTACCGACAGAGAAAAAGAAATAAAGAGTAGAGCGGCCAGGCTTGATATGTTAGAGGCTGACAAGGCTGAGTTAGAGGGCTTGGATGACTCTGGAATGAATGAGCCCATGAAAGTGTTGAGGAACAACATGCTGTCGCTGCATGCACACGTGGACAGCAGGTTGGACTTCATGCAGAGCACTTTGGACCAGATCCTGGATGTTTTGACAAGGCCAGGATTTAGGCCACCACCGCAATCGCCATTGCCGTTATCGACGATGTCAGGCCCCTTTCCAGTTCAAGCTGGTACACAACCAAGTGGTACGTCTGCAGCAGTCTCACAGACTGTTGCATCTTCTTCTTCGGGTCCAGCGGTGGGGGCTACACCACCCCAACAACCTGTTCAGCAATCTGGACAGCCGCAAGGTCGGTGGTACCCTAAGACCCCAATGGAACCGCCTCTTGCCTTCTCAGGCGAGAGAAAGTACGAAGAACTCAACACATGGTTGAGGACCGTCCCGGTTTGGGTGAAGGCAAAGAGGACCTTGCCTGAGGACGAAGTGGTAACTGTTGCATCTTACCTATAGTCTGATGCGATTAACAAGCTGATCCAACGAAAGGAGGCACAAAAGGCCACTGACGGGATTAACAAGCTGGACCAACGAAAGTTCAAATCGGTCAGAGAGTTTACGACTACCGTAGAGAGCCTGATCCTCGTCCCTGGCATCAACTATAGTGACCAGTTCCTGTTAACAACATTTGTTAGATGTCTTCCTGAGAACATCAGGAACTTGCTGGCCAGCGAGGCACGCCTCGAGTACCATTCGTTTGAGACCTTGTCTAGGAAAGCCTTAGATCTAGAGGCGACGCTAGGCAATGCTCAACCCACTCAGAATGACACGAAGAACAAGAAGAGTCCTCAAGAGTGGAAAAAGAAGGGGGCTAAGTTGATGATGGTGGAATCCGATGGGACCCAAACTGAGATCGACGAGCTCACTGACCTGATGGACTACACAGAGTTTGACGGCGAGGAGGTAGCGAGGGGAAGCACCCTCGCCGCGGTCGTAAAGACTAAGGCAGATGGTCAAGGGAAGGGCCAACCTAGGAGTCAAGGGAAGGCCGCCTCCAATCAGTCCAAAGTGGTTGAATGGGTGAAGGCAGGTCTTGATCAAGACGTGTGGCGTGACCGCCGAGTGTGTGGCGCTTGTATCAATTGCGGGGAATACGGACACTCGCAATACAAGTGCCAGAACGCAAAGGTTACGCAAAAGATTGCTCCAAAAATGGGGGCATCTTATTCCCAGGCTTCTAGCTCGGGAAACGCGTGAGGCCAGTGGAAGTATTAGTTGCTTCTACTCAAGATGAAGTGGGCTTGATACCCTCCCCACTTCATGACAAGGCCAAAGCTAATGACTCCTTAGTCACCCCGCAGACGCATCTAGACCAAACTATGCTTTGTACGTTAGATGTGTCTGAAGCCTTAGAAGACTTCGAAGGTGAGTGGTCAAACAAGGACTCTCGCGAGTCTTGGGTGGCACTAAAGAAAGGTCCTAGAGGGGAACATTTCGTGGTGGAAGTGGATGTAGGAGGCCGCAAATGTGGTGCCTTCATAGACATCGGATCCACGCGAAATTACATAAGTCGCGATTGTTTGGAAAGGCTGCACCTACAAGACCGGGTACGGCACCTTAGTAAACCTATAGCATCTACTTTGGCCAACAAAGAGCGCATGATCGTAACAGACTATATCAAGGACATAGTATGTACCTTCTCCTATAGAGGAGGAGAACTTCACCATAAGATCTCGTTCTTGGTTAGCGACGACTTACCAATCGACATGTTATTAGGCATGTACTACCTCGAAGTCCGGCCTTATCCCCTCCGCGGATACTTCATGACCCAAGTATAGTATCTTAGTGCGGCCAAACTCGCACTTCTCTAAGTTGACCTCATACTCGTGCTGTCGCAGGAGTGAGAGTACCTTCTCAATATGTTTTGTGTGCTCCTCGGCAGACTTACTAAAGATCAGCATGTCGTCTAAGTAGACCACGACAAACTTATGTAAATGGTCATGGAAGATCCGATTCATAGCGCGCTGGAATGTTCCCGGCGCGTTACAAAGACCAAAAGGCATCACTACAAACTCATAGACCATAACGAGTCTGAAAAGTTGTCTTGTGTTGGTCCTCTGGCCTTATAGCGATCTAATGATAGCCGGATTTCAAGTCTATCTTGCTATAGTACTTTCATCCCTGCACCCTATCCAATAGGTCGTCTATGCGAGGTAGAGGCTCTGCGTTCTTCATTGTGATGGCATTGAGGCCTCTATAGTCAATGCACATCCTCAAAGTACCCCCCTTCTTCGTTACGAATAGAACTGGTGATCCGTAAGGGGAAGTACTAGGCCGGATCCATCCCTTCTCTGTCGGCTCCTTAAGTTGTCGTCGAAGTTCATCTAACTCGGCGGGGACCATCCTATAGATCCTTCCCTTTGGGGTCTTACTCCCTGGAATGATTTCTATAGCGTGGACGACTTCCCTTTCAACAACTCCTGTGGGCTCCTCGAACAGATCAGGGAACTTAGCAACGACGCGTTCTTTCTCTGGGGGTGTTTTAACGGCCTCCCCTTTCTCAGAGATATACACAAGGTACATACCCTCCTCTTCGTTTTGCTTGTAATAGTTGTAGAACGCTCATGCGCACAAGCAGCCATAGGTATCTATAATGCTACTGGCCTTTGTACTTAGTCAATCTGACAGTTCGGCCATCGGGCAACTTATGCTTGAGCACCTTCTTATCCCAGTCAAATTGGGGCTTACTAGTATTCGAGACTGGCCACGACCTCAGACAGTCACTGAGGTCAGATCATTCTTAGGAATGTGTGGCTACTATAGAAACTTTGTAAAGAACTATTCTACAGTCGCCTCTCCTTTGACTGATCTAACTCGACTTGACACACCGTGGGACTAGAGTGATGAGTGCGAGGGTGCTTTCAAGAGATTGAAGTATGCACTCATGAATCATGAGGTCCTCATGGTTCCCGATCCTCAGAAGCCATTCATAGTGACCACTGACGCAAGCCAATACGGCATTCGCGCAGTGCTGGCTTAGCGGAATGGGAAAAAGTTGAGACCGATTGAGTACATGAGTAAGAAGATGCCATCAAAGAAGTTGGCAAAATCCACCTCCGAAAGGGAACTCTATGCTCTGTATAAAGCACTTGTCTATTGGAGACACTTCCCATTGGGGACGTTTTTCAACTTGAGGACTGATCATCAGACCCTCAAATGGATCAAGACTCAACCGGCTCTTTCTGACGCACTCAAGCGATGGATTGAGGTCATAGACCAATATGACTTCAAGCTTGAGTACTTAAAGGGAGAGTACAACAAGGTTGCGGATGCGCTATCTCGTAGACCAGACTACCTAGGTGCGCTAGTTTCTGACTTTGGCGTATCTAACGAAGTAACTCAATCATTGGTGGGAGCCTATCAGGAAGACCCTGTCACGATGGACATCATGCGCAAACTTCAGGCAAAAGACAAGGCTACGGAAAGTGAGTTTGTGATGGTGGACGGGTTACTCTATCTTGATAAGGCAGGAATAAAAAGGTTAGTAGTTCCATCTAGTGAACGTTTGCGTAGTTTATTTTTAGGCGAATGTTATGACGCAACCGGGCACTTTGGCTACAAGAAGACGAGTGCTAACTTAGTACAACGATTTTGGTGGCCTGGTATGTTGGATGACGCGAAGAAGTACGTAGAGACCTATCAGGTCTGTCAGCGGGACAAGCCGCGAACTCAAGCACCGCTTGGGTTGTTGAAGCCTTTGCCTATCCCTGTTGGTCCAGGGCAGAGTGCCTCCATGGATTTCATGGACACCCTGGTGACTAGTAAGAGTGGCAAGAGGCACATCTTCGTCATCATCGACCGATTCACCAAGTACGCTAAACTAGTGGCTATGCCAGAGACCGCAAGAATTGACTACGTCATCAAGTTGTTCAAAGACAACTGGGTGCGTGACTTTGGTTTACCAAAGTCAATCGTTAGTGACCGAGATGTCCGATTCACAAGTGAGTTGTGGAAGAAGACTGCGGAACAGATGGGCAGTCAACTTCAAATGACTTCAGGGAATCATCCCGAAGCCAACGGACAAGCCGAACAAATGAACAGAGTTGTACAGCACTTGCTGAGACATTATATCAAGCCCAACCTAGATGATTGGGATGAGCAGTTGCCTCTCATCGCCAGCCTGTACAACAATGCTATCCATAGCAGTACCGGCGCTAGTCCTAATCAACTGCACTTGGGATGGAAGCCTAGATCAGCACTAGACTTCCTCCTACCTGAAAACCAACCCGCAGGAGGATAGCCTGTACAACAATGCTATGGGTTGAACGGGCCGAAAAGCAAAAATAGAAGAAGCATTAAGGGTGACGGAAGCCGAAAAAAGAACCTGGTTGGCACATGATGGAAGGAGGATTAGCCAAAGGATGCTTGAGATGACAAGGCTCGGGGGAGAAGCAAGGGCAGCAAAAAGGAAAAACTGGAAAGGGGTTTGATGTTCTAAGGGTGAGGAACGAGACGAAAAGGGTTTTGATATTCTAAGGGTGATGAACGAGACGAAAGGGGTTGGATGTTCTGAGGGTGATGAACGAGACGAAAGGAGGATTGATGCTCTGAGGATGATGAACGACACGAAAGGAGGATTGATGCACTGAGTGTGATGAACGAGACGGAAGTGGTTTTGATGTTCTCAGAATGATGAATGAGAAATGAGAAGTATGAAGAAAGCCTAAATTATACACACCTCTCCCCGTCCCAAGGGTGGAAGCCTAAAAAAATCCGAGAAAGGAACAAGAAACGACAAAACGGACCCTGGCAAACTAACCACCTATGACATTCCATCCTCCTCCCCCGTCTATCCCTCCAAAACCCACTAACAAAAGATTGGTGCGCGATCAGGACATCGCGAATGAGTGGGGGGAATGTGTCGGGACTGTTGAGTCCCGAATAACTTCCCCTCACTCGAGAGATTGTATATAACCAGAATGTGCACGACAGAGAAATCTGGAGCAAGGAGGATAGAAAGAAAAAAGACAAAGGATTAGGCCACAAGAGGAAGTGAGACCTTGGGGTGAAAACCACAGGGGGAGGGAACCAGCGACGGCAAGCAAGTAAGCACAAGAACAGGGCCACATAGGATATAGCATGAGGCCAGGAGGGTCGTTGGAATTCAACAGGGCTAAGGCCAAAGGGCCCTTGAACCAGCAAACGCGGTACGGCAGTAACAAAAGAATGAGGAAGTCGAGAAATGGACGGCCCCGAAGGCCGTGGTAAACTAGAGAACAAGGACCCAACATAGGGGCAGCCGTGGGGCGGCAAAGCGCAAGAAAGACAAGGGAGAGGGGTCACCGTGGGGCGGCAAAGCGCCCAAGGGACGTGGGACACCTTGGGGAAAGGCACCCGGGGCCATGTGGGACTAAGTAAAAATAATGGCATCTGGGGCGAAAAGTGTCGGGGACCATCGACGGACGAATGAGGGGGACATGTGAAAATCCCAATAAGAAACGGCGGCACCTCATGAGGGAAAATAATAAAGGCAAGGTGCACCGTCAAGATCAAGATCTTGACGGCCAAGAATATTAGCACCACTAGTGCAAGCACTAGCGGTAGCAAACGGGAAGGCCAAAAGGAAAAGAAAAAGTAAAGAAACTTGAAGTGGGAGGCATGAGAGCATTCAGAAAAATCTCGGATCAGCCTCCCTCAAGAAAATGGAGTCAAAAAAAACTCCATGTGAAAAATAGGCCTCCGGGAAAAAATCGGAGTAGGAGGGGCCACTATGGGAGAAAAATAGAAGTAACAGGAAACTCCCAATGGGCATGAGAAAGCCATTATTGCAGTTCGAGATATATCGGACTGCACCTTGGGCATAGGAAGGCCCAAAACTAAAAGGAAGGGCCTTGGCATGCTAAGAAAAAGAGAGAAAAGAAAAAAAAATATGGGAGAAGAAGACAGAAAGAGTAAGAGGGAGTGAGTGAGTTGGCCGTCAGCAGGGACTACCACAAGTAGGGACTGCAGGTCCCTACTCTCCAAGAAAGGAGGAAAAAGAAAAGAAAAAAAAGAGAAAAGAAAGGAAAAAATAGAAAGGCCTTAACGGTCAATAACAATCATTTGGGGAGATACATCCGTGACGAGATTCATTCTGAAATATGCAATGGGCTTTGATTTTCTTTGATTCTTGCAGAAAAAATCATTCTTAAGAAAATCAAAGCCCCATGCAACCGAAAAATAATGGATTGCATGGGGGAGGAGAAACACATTTTTTTGGTGCATGCGGATCCAATATTGAGCCCGGATGCACTTAAAAATTAAACGCTTCATTTTTTTTTAGCATGGGGCAAGTTGTGGGGCTGTGGGACTAGAAAAATGACCATGAGTGCAATCCGAAAAATAACGGACTGCATGGGGGTGCCTAGGCTAAGGGAAAATGAGCCACGGCAAGCCCGAGAGGCAAGAAAAGAGCAATTTCGGTAAGGGGCAAGTGAAGACGGTAAACGGCAACCGTGAGATGACATCTCACGGCCTAGAAAAATTGACACACACGTAGAGATGATGAGACCACCAAGGGCAAGGGGGCCCCAAAAATAAAAATGGGACACCGTCCAGAATGTTGTCGGGAACCAAGTGGGTCCAAATAATAAAAGTCGAAAAACGGGACACGCGTCGATGGGACCACCGACGGGACAAGAAAATGGAACTAGTATGGAGGAAAGTGGCGGGGACTTGGAATATCCCAAGGGAACCATGAGCAAGCACAAGGAATAATTGTGCAAGCAAACGGCGCCGTTAAGATCAAGGATCTAGATGGTGGGAAATATTAGCACCACTAGTGCAAGCACTAGTGGGGGCAAGTGGGAGAGCCATAGGGAGAAAATAAAGTAAAATAATGGTAGTGGGAGAGCTGCCCAGCACTCCGAGATATCTCAGCCTAGCTAGGCATGAGAAAATAGAGCCTCAAGAGGCTCAACATGAGAAAAAGGTTGTCCTTACCTTGGGTCCAGACCCCTCGTCAAAGCTACATAAGCGTTGACCTCTTGGCTTTGGAAACATTCTGTCTTGCGTCAATGTTGACTTCACGTGTTGGCGACGACGCTAGTGCAACAGTGTAACGCTAGCTGGATGTTGGCTCTACGCTGGCAAACAGGTGGACTACGGCGACGCTATGCTAGCTCGGCATGGTGGATGGCTTGCAATTGTCTTTTGGGCATGCTGACGTGGCAGCTTCCACGCGCCGCCATTGACGTGGCCACTGCCACGTATATCATTGATGTTGTCGTGGCAAGGTTACGGGACTGGCATTGTTGTTCTGCTTCAACGACATTCGGGAGGAGATCATGACTGTGGGGCGATAGTGGACACGTACCTGGTTATCTTGAGGTGGACATTGCTCCAGCTCGCTGATGAGGACTGATTATCGTGCCACGTGGCACAATGTGATAGAACTTCAGATGCGCGTTCAAATTATTGATTACTGAGGTGGTGATCGAGGAGGGATCTCGAAGCAGGAAGTGGGCATTGTCTTTTATTCTCACTCCACGTCTATTCCCCCTCCTCTCTCCTTCGTCTGTGTATGTTTTTTTCCATCTCATTGTATCTGGACACGATTATGATTATTGACAATCATCACGCAGGTTGATATTTATCGGGCTTGCATTGTTGACAAGTGTCTTCACGATCTAGGTTCATTGCAGTAGTAGAGAAGTTAGGCTACAATATGGAGTGTATTCTCCATTCATAACTTAAGTATAACTATGATATTTTGGATTGTACTGTTATGCAGATCTACGCATTCGATTGAAGGTTCGACGTGCTCGGCCTGATCCTTCGAGGATCACCCATCTTATGTTATCACTTGATAACAAGTCGGTTTACAACACCACTTTAATTGCTTCTCCACCTCAACCTCAAGCCTTAGCCCCTGTGTGGGTTTTATATGTTTCTTGGGATTTTCACCCACACTTTTAAATGGTCATTTTCAAGAACTAAGTATCTTTGTTGTGGGATGGTGGAAAGAGGTTGGGGCTTATGTGTGTAGGATGGTGGAAAGAGGGTAGGGCTTATGTGCATAGGGCGGGGTGTGAGTCGCAGAGAACGGTAGAGTTGACTCAGTGTGTGGGATGCTGTTGTCCAAATTTTGTGTGTTCGCAGTTATGTATGTGTGGAAGATGATGGATTCAGTCTCGGTGATTGCTTGTGTATTGCGTCAATACTGACGGACAAGCCACATTAATATTTGTGTGAGTGATCATCTAATGTCACACAGCCTCTGAAGGATTCAACCGCTTTTTGTATGCGCGACTGCTACAGCTAGCGCACGCGAGGGTTAAGCATAAGTCAAGGTCTAGGAATACCTGCACTGCTCTTTCACGCGGGTGCATAGTATGGCGTAGCATATGAAGAAACGCGGTAATAACTCTTTATGTGTATAAGTGCGGTTGAATGTTCTAGCTTCTTTTGTGCACTCAAACCAATCATACTCATCACATAGCCTCGAGACGCCCTCAAATATTGCTTGCTTGTTGGATTTTTCTACTTGGACGTTAAAGTTCGTGGCGGTTGTGACAGTCAAACCCTTGCTTTGTTGTAAGGCCCCTGAAGGTGTGACTTTCTCATCCGATTGGAGAGCATTCCACCGCCACTGATTGCAGCATCCAACCTACCACTCTCCTGCGCAGGGTGCAAACGAGGGTAGGATACACAACCGCATTCGTTCTTGTATAGCGGTAGAGGAACAACCCCTCAAGACGCATGTCAGCCGACACGAGTGTCGAATGAGATCATCGAAACCATCGAGAATTCACGTGATTATGCGCACCATATAGTACTCCATCATTACGACTCCTCACATATTCACGCATGGCTAGTCGATATGATGAGGCTCGCGCCACAACGTTATTTATACAAATTCTCGCGAGTGGTGTATGAATGTTCATGCACTGAGACAATTATGGGTTGAGCGAAAAAAGGGACTAGGCGTGATTTGCACATGATTTTCTTTGAAAGTGTATCGCGTGGTTAGTTTGGTTGTCCTAATCGACCGGTGTAGGATCGTGCTTGGGAGATCAGCGCCTCAAGCGTCGGTTCGTGAAGGGTCCAATTCATGCGTTGACCGCTCGCATACCATATACCAAAAACATTAGAGGGACATGCAGAGGGCGGGTCGGAAGGGCAAAGAGCCCATCAGGCTAGGTTGGACCACGACGAACGGACCGACAGGCAGCCCACCTCTGGACTTCCTCATGCAATAAATCCCTTTCAACACACCTTCAACCCACAACCAATGCAAGTGGAAACACGAAAGCCTCTAGCAGCCAGAAAGCGAGCCCCCTTACACCTCCACTGGGCGTGATTATAACCGACCCCACACCAGAAGCACAAGGGG